TGGGGCACGCTGACTAAAGTGGGCCTGCTGTACACAGCCTCCACCGTGCCCTCAGAATGCCATCAGCAATGCAGATGTGTCTTGGACACATCTGCATTGAGGCGGGCAAAGCTGGGGTTTGATCTGGTGAGTCTCCGGTTTCAAGTTGAACTCCTGCATCCTATCCTTCTGTCTCCCCATCGATATTAGTTAAAAGTAAAGCCATTACTTATTTACTAGAAAGCTTTGATCTCAATCTGAAGATGAGGGCGGCATCCAAGTCTGAATAGAGGTTTAACTTTCCTTCCTATATGGAGTCAATTTTGTGCAGTTATTGTTAAAAGTGAACAACACATTTTTTTAAATGGAAATTTGGGGGAAAAAAAGGTCAGTCCAGAAATTACATTGAAAAAATTCTTAAACCAACACATGAACGTGTCTACTGTAGTTCTGGGTATCTTGTATTTTGCTCTGACTATTTTCTCTGACCTTGTCAAATAAAACCTCTCTGCAGCATTATTATGCCACCACCATGTTTCAGCACAGAGATGACATACTATGACTGTAAAAATAGTTTTTCAACCCACAATAGTTTTTATGTTGGCCAAGAAAAGTTGCATTTTAGAGTTAGTATATCTTTAAATAATTTTTCTTTTTTTTACTGTGAATCTCTGCTGCTCCTTCAGATTTATCACATAACCTGTGTCTCCTTTCTTTCACATACTGTAAACCAGATGACTTCTCCAGGCAATTGGTCATGCTGGAATTTATAGGGGTTAACATCTAAAGTAGTATACAGATATCTGCCTGGAGACACTTTAAAACAATTAGCATTTTAATCTATTTCGCATTTGTGCAAAACTTGTTGGTCTAAATAAAAAAAATACTGCTTGTGGTTGTGGTGTGTCAAAATATGAGAAAGCTAAGGAGTAATAGCCACAAATGTAATATTTTAGAATATTTTTATGAAGCACTGCACTGATGGGAGCAAATAAATAATTACTTTTGTAATATTTTTAGATATTCCTTCAATAAATTACAGAAAGACAATAAAAAGAGTCTTATTTTCTTTCTTTTTTCAGAGCCTCAGCAGGAATCCTCCTGGATTAAAAAGTGTCCTGAAAACCCGAGCCTTGATGTTCCTCTGTTTCAGACCGACGTTGTTGTCAGCAAAGATGTCAACACCTCTGCTGCTCCAATTAAGTCAGAAGGTGTTGATGAGGACCTTGGAGAGACGACGGCGCTGAGTCACTTTAATTCGACACAAAATCCAGATCTGGAAGCAGCGAGTGATGAGAGAGTAATATCTGAGGATTCTGACACTGAAAACAGTGAAGGAGGCTGGAAAGACGAAGCCAGCCTCTGGAGATCTGAGGAAACAGTAGAGAACAAAGATCAGAGCATCACGTCAGAGCTACAGGGTTTCGCTGAGTTGTCACAGATTAGCTGCCAGGTCTGTGGTATTTCCTTCCAAAAGATGGGTTATCTGGTCACTCACGCCTCAGTGCATCAGGAAAGCTGCGGGGTCTGCGGGAAACAGATGGAACAAAATGAAAGCCTAAAGCTTCACCTCAAACGTCACAGAGAAAAGTCTTTCCGCTGCGGCGTCTGCGGGCAGAGCTTCACGCTGCGGGGGAACCTCCGCATCCACATGAGAATCCACTCTGGCGAGAGGCCGCACAGCTGCAGCATCTGCGGGAAGAGCTTCGGGAGGCGGGCGTCGCTGGTGCGCCACGTCCGCAGCCACACGGGCGAGAAGCCGTTCGCCTGCATGTACTGCGGCCACAGCTTCACGGAGAAGGGCAACCTGACGGTTCATCTACGGACGCACACAGGCGAGAGGCCGTACAGGTGCTCCATGTGCGCTCGCAGCTTCAGTCAGCTCTCCAGCTTCTACAAACATCCGTGTCAGAAGAAAGGGCTGATCTGTTCCGCCATCACTGCCAGCTGACGGCTGCCACACTCCTTATCCTGTTTTTAATGACTATAAAAACATGAAAAAATGAAATATTGTTCTTGTCTATAATTCCAGATAACCTGCACAAAAACATCAGCCCCTTTATTATGAGAGCAAGAGTTTTATTTTTCTGATTTATTTTTTTTTAACAGTTAGGATCACCTACTTTCCCAAATTAGGCCTGCACAGTGATGCAGTGGGTAGCACAGCTGCCTTGCAAAAGAGAAGGTTTCGTGTTTGATTCCCGGTCTTTCTGCATGGAGTTTGCATGTTCTCCCTGAGCATGCGTGGGTTCTCTCCGGGTACTCCGGCTTCCTACCACAGTCCAAAAACATGACTGTTTGGTTAATTGGCATCTCTGAATTCTCCTTAGGTGTGAGTGTGTGAGTGAATGGTTGTTTGTCCTGTTTGTCTCTGTGTTGCCCTGCGGTGGACTGGCGACCTGTCCAGGCTGTACCCCGCCTCTCACCCGTAAAAAGCTGGAGATAAGCACCAGAACCCCTCTTGACCCCAGCAGGGATAAGCATGACCAAAAATGGATGGATGAAATTTTCCAAAGTAAAATTTGTTACTTGGTGTCCTGGACACTTTGTTCTAACAAATGTTAGGTGCATATCATTTTGAATAAAGCAACCAACAGTTTAGTAACAGTTGTGCATGGGTCAGAAATTTTATTAAAACAAAATGCATTTTTTATGATATAACGTTTGTTTAAAAATTTGTATTAATTTAATTGAGACCAAATCAATAACATAAAATAAGCCAACTGCTATCAGCTGGTTAATTAGCTGTGTTACCTGCTCAGGTAGCCAGCATGCTGTTGGCTGCAGCCCAGTGTTTGACATGTAGAACTTATGGCCGTCGTTCCTTTAATTTCCTTATTATTTTGTCTGGAAATATTTCCAACCAGACCGATTTCTCTTCCTTGTAAACAAAGAATTGGATTCAGAGCCTTATTTTTTTCAACCAACTGACTGGTAGCGTCCTCAATGTCAGAGAAAAGGAGTTCTTTGCTGCTCCATCTGTGCGTTATTCAAGCATAAACATCCGTCTCTTTATATCTCTTTAAAGGATTTTAAACTAAAGCTTTGCTTTGACGTGAATATTGAACGGCTATAAACCCATAACTTTTTGAAAAACCTCAATATGTTTTGAGACCAGTTACCGAGCCTTACCTCCTAACTATAGTACATTTGTGGCTTAAGTCAATTTATTAAGAAAAATCCTTTTTTAAACTGGCTTTAAATTCTGTATTCCCTCCCACTGCCTTTATAAATGATAAACTTTTCCTCATCCCTCTGTAGGTTATGGTGTTTCTCTAAAGCGTTAACTTACTTTAAGTAAACTTGGTTATTGCTAATTTATTTTCTTCCTGAAATACTTTTTTTTTCTGGTTGTGTTGTACAAGATGTGTGCAGTAAATGTTAAAAAAAAACTTTAGAAATAACTTATGATTCAAATGTATAACTTTTAATCCATTTCTTAACTTGTGCCCTACCCCAGTTTTTATCTTAAAGTTTAAAGTTCTGTTCTGTTTTATGAGATATGAAACCATTTGAAATGAAAGTATTATTAAGAGGCCTGAGTTTTTGTTGAATTTTCTGTTTATTACAATATTTACATTCTACCTACAAAATATGTTTTCTAAAATCACATTTTCTAAAATTCAAAGTTGCCTCTTTTAGATGCTGGTTTTTCATCTTTTTTTACTACAAATTTATTATACTTGTGGTTAAAATCAACTTGGTTTGCTTTGGATATATTTACTGAGACTTTTCTGGTACTGAAGACAATATTTATTTATTGCAAAGAAAACTGATGTATTATTAAATACATAAAGGATTTTTCAGATTTTTGTGCATTAATCAAGCTTAATTTGTCTGAGCAAATGCAATATATTAATGCTTTTGATGTCATTTTTGATCACAACTTATTCTTTTCTAATAGCTGCATTCCTTTATATTTGCGGTTGTTGAGATTAAGAAAAACGCAGGTAACTTTTATTTTCTCAAAAATAATAAATACAGTTTGTTTTACCATGTCATAAAATCTGCTGCAAAGCTATTTTAGGGAAAATAAAAATATGTTCAAAAAATAAAAAGGAAAAAGAAATCCCTGTTTGCAAATAGATCAAAATAAAACAGATTTTTAAAACGAATTCTTGAGATTTTTTGAAAAAAGCAGAGATTTAAACGTATGTTCTTTAAATTACCAATATAATATAATTTGAATATATATATATGTACAAAATAAATTGATCACCAAACTTTGATTTGATTTCTGGTTCATTGTGTATTTATTGACAAAATGAAAACAAATACATAGTTTGATCAAACTTTCTCTGTTATATTATTAAAAAGATACAACAAATTGCTTTTAGATATTAAAGATATTTAAAACTGAAAGCAGGGAATTAGCCAGATTAAGGCTGAAGAAATGGAACAAAGCTGCAGAAAAACCTTTTAGATTAAAGCATAAACAAAGGGAAACAAATCATAAATGCTAGTTAAGTTAATAATTTTTATGTTTTACTTAATTACTTAGAACATTTGAATAGAATATGTTGAAAAGTGATTATAGGGATGTTTTTTAATTATCTGGCAAGTTCTAATGATAATTTAAAATGTAAAAATGCCAAACAATAGCAAAAAAAAAAACTTTTAAAACAGATTTTTAAAAACAGTGATAACTATTGTAATATTTTATTGTAATAATTAAACTTCACAATAAAAAAATGTGGGCAAGTTTAAGACTAAAAACAAATCATGTTTCCATGTTTTAACCCGTGAAATCTAAATTAATCAGACCAGATATTTATAAATTGATGAATGTAGTGAGTAGGGCGTGTATTGAGGCTTCCTAACCAGCTGGGGGCGCTGGAGGACTTTCTAGACATTAATGAATAAAATCTGGTGAGCAGAGCATGTATTGAGGCTTCCTAACCAGCTGGGGGCGCTGGAGGACTTTCTAGACATTTATGAATAAAATCTGGTGAGCACAGCATGTATTGAGGCTTCCTAACCAGCTGGGGGCGCTGGAGGACTTTCTAGAGATTTCTTCGAACCTCTCAGAGAAGTTAACCTGGAACTGTAGCTCATAACACAAGTCACCGGATCGCCACAGTTTTTATCCGTATTTCGACCAGATCTCCTTTGTTTTGGAGAGTCTTAAGTTACAGCAGACATGTCTAAAATCGAGATGTTGAGGCTTCTGATCAACCAGCGGCTCACTGCGGCTGCAGAGGAGATTTTCGGGGTTTTTGGGAGAACCATAGCAGAATATGAGGAGGAAATCTCCCGGTCCAGGCTGGAGATCGACCGGCAGCGCCGGCTGCTGGAGCTCTGCAGGAAGCCGCGCATCTCCCTGCAGGCCGACAGCTCAGGTAGGCAGACAGCCTCTGTTCATACATGGAGCCCCAGCTTTGGCTTTAAAAGGAGGTCAAATGTTCCCATTGAATCTTTAGCATTTAGGTTCCTGATGAAGTGACAACTTTAAATTCATATGTACAGCTATAACAACTTATTTTGCGTCAAACATAACATAGAATAGTTTATTTTTGTATTTTTCTAAGGCTTGTTTGGTCAGTTCTCTTAAGAAAAAAAAAAATCTTCCATTTCACTATTTCAGTTTAATGATCAACAGCTGTTTGTGCATCAAAAGCAGAAAATTCTGACTCCTTTAACCAGAACTTTTCAGGCTAATCTTCCACTTTTGGAGGCCTTCAATCCTCTTAAAGACAAAGAAAAGAATGTAATGAAATCAAAGGTTTTCAACTTTCCTGAAAGTCTGCTCTAATTTATTTTCTTAAATTGTTTATTCAGCTTTAATATTTAGATTTAATTGTTTTAAAAATGAAGAAGCAATTAAGTCCAACTTGCATCTTTGCTGATACAAAATCAGTGAACCTCCCTGCTTTATCAGCCCAGGGTTTTGAACACATTGGCAGCAAAGGTACTCAACTTCCCACTAATAAAGTCTAAGGCTGCAACTAGTGATTATTATTTAGATTTTATTCGATTAATAATCGGATAGCAAAAGGTTCCATAAAGGAGGCTTTTTATTAACTTAAAAAATATTTTTCTTATGTCAATATGCTCTATCCAGAAGGTTTTAGTTCCACCTGTTTTATCTAAAATGCAAAATAGTCATATTTCTTTTCCGATTTTTTGTATAGTTATTGCTCAAGATGTTTCGCTCTGTCAGCTAAAGGCGTATTTTACATTTTCTATACTACAGTTAACGATTAATCGATTACTAAATTAGTTGACGATAATTTCAATAATCGATCAATCCAATTAATAGTTTCAGCCCTAATACAGTCCAGTCCTTTTCTTCTACAAAACCCTTCTGATTGTCTCTATTTTTGGAATAGATAAACTGATTCAGAGTTTTTAGTTTAGGATCGGGGTCAGAATCTAACATTTTTAAAGACTCTGCTGGCCGAGAGAGGGTAATAATAAGGAGTAGAGAGTCATTTTTTTTCTTTTAATAAAATTTGATCATTTTATGACCTTTCGTCTTCAAAAGCCCTGGAAATAAAACCATAAGTGGTTTAGAGATGCAAAAAGGAAATGGAAAGGAACAAGAGCATAACACCAATAGAATGAAGCCATGAATTGGGAATAACGTGAACCAGAACCATGTGTGTTGTGGCTCTTGAAGTGCTGACTCCAGCTGCAATTCACACCTTTCCCAAACACGTCAACTTCTCTGCTTTATAAACCTCTTAAGGGTTTAGTCACATTGACAGCAGAGGGACGTTTTTCCTTCCACTTAACTTCCCATTTATACGACCTCAAACTCAGCACAGTGTTTAGACACCATGTTCCCCATTGACTTATTGCAGCTTATTCTCTGCATAGAAGGTAGGAGTCATATTTGGAGCAGATATCAAGTCAGGATTGTTTCTTTCTAAATTTACAAGCATGGATTAAAACATTTTTTTATCCTTTTGATAATCAAAATTTCTGAAAAATGCTAGACTTCAGGTTTCCATTTGCTGTAACCCATCATTGTCAAAATGTAAAGAAATAAAATCTTGTAATATTTTGTCATATATATTTTCAGTGTGTTGCTAATTTGTGGAAAAAATGTTTAAACCAAAATTATTCATGGCTAAAAAAATGACTATTTGGGTTGTGTTTTCTGCAGCTGTCTCAGATCAGCGGGACTGGAGCTCCAGTCTGGATCTAAATGAAGAAGAACCTTCTACTCGCGTCAAAGAGGAGGAACAGGAGCAAGATGTGTGGATAGATCATCCAGATGAGCTGCCCGGTCGGAGGTCGGAGCAGAACAACGTCAGCTTTGTTTTGTTCCAGAACAGAGCAGCAGAAACGCAGCTAGACAACGGCTCCACCGGATCCCCGGTCTCAAAATATCAAAGCCACGACCTCGGGGACTTGGAGATGGACCCGCAACCTGGTACCTCAATCCAGCAGACCTGCTCTGATCTCACTGAGGATCAGCCTGGTTTTGAGGCGGATGCAGGAAACAGCCTGCATGACTGCTTGGATGCTGGACTTACTAAAGCGCTGGACTCTTATATCTGCACCATATGCGGCCAGGGATTTTATGAGCGCGATCAGTGGACCAGACACATGCGGATTCACAGAAAAATCGACGGCAAAGTGGACAAATCTTTTACGTGCGATATTTGCGGGAAGAGACTGACCCGGTCTGACGGGTATCAGAAACACCTGCGGGTTCACACGGGCGAGAAGCCGTACAGCTGCCATGTGTGCGGTCGCAGTTTCAGCGACAACTCGAACTACAAGCGACACATGCGCAGACACACCAGAGAGAAAACCCAGCAGAGCTCCAGCTGAGGGCAGCTGGACAGAAACAGAGACGTACTGAAAGAACGGACGAATGGAAGCACAAAATGATTCGAATTCTTCTCTCATTGTCTTTTATTTTCTCACACAGCAGAACGGATGAATCAACGTTTAGCTGCCATTGATTTTTAGGGTTTTTACATGTTTACTCCAGTCATAGTTTTTAAGCCAACTTCTGATTTTTGTACGTGTCCCACCTGCTGACACCCCCTCAGAAAGAAAAGTTTTCCTTTTTTTTTGTTAAATTTCTACCTCAATTCTGTTCAACAGCCCCACTTTAAAGAGCTTTATTGATTGTTTTCAGGTTGCTTTTTATTGTGTAGTATTTTTGATTTGCCCAGAAACAAATTTTAGAACGACTCATATTTTCTTTATCAGAAAGATTTTAGGTTTTATTCTTCAATTTAAGTTGTATAAAAACAGGAAACATAAAATCTGCCCATTCCACAGAAATGTTGCTTACTTTGTAAAGTCATGCAGTCACACTAACCCAAAGCTGATTTCCCATTAAGTGTGATGTTTATCTATTTTAATGCTCATGGATTTAAATATAAACCAATGATAATCACTTCAGGCATTCATGGTTGGGAAATTATATATTTGTCCTTTTCCAAGTCTTTAAAGCTTCCGTCAGCTACAGTGCCTTAAAAATCTTTGACAAGTTCCATCTATGTTTTACATCAGAGGACAGACCGACTCAAGTGGAAGAAAAACGATTCATGATCTTTAAGCTGATTTTGATTAATTTCTTTGAAACATTTTTTTTTTCATTTTTATGTATAAGTAGATCCTAAAAGTTTCCACTGCTACGATTTAATGTAGCCATGATGAATCATTTAAAAATGTTTTGCTTACCTTTTGAAATTACATTTTTCCTGTAAAATTCCTCTAGAGAAAAAGTGCAACTGAAAAAATGTATGATTAGCTAAAAAGGTGCACTAACTAGGTCATCTGAAACGTAAAGAGAACCAGATGATTGGTGGAAAAAGAAACAAATTGGCAGACATTCCTGCAGCTACCCTCTCAGTTGTTCCATATTTTCTCAAGTGAGTGATAATCATCTTCGCTGTGTCATGTTGTTTAAACATGTTTTTTTTTGTTTATTTTTTCACTGATGCCTTTGAACAATTAAATCCTGTGGATTTTTAACCTGTTGCTTTAGCTAAAGGTCACAGGTGACGGAAAGTTAGTAAAAGCCTATTGAACTTGACAGCCGAACCAGATCGAATTTAAAGATTTCAGGTTTTATTCTTTTCAACAGAATTCTGTATGCGTTGCATTAAAGCTGGAAAAAGTTTTAAAATCATTTGCGTGGTCTATTTTTTATTAACATGAGAATTGGCCATTTTTGGTGTTGCTACTGATGAAATATGTCTACATTTTTTATTTTTTTTGCCCCTTCTGGCCAATTTTTCCTCAGATGCTTGGATCTTAGCAGTGCTTCCTGCCTCCTCTACAAATCTTTAACTTTGGAATATTTCTTGTCCAGCAGATGGCAGCATAACACTTCAATTAATGTGGCCAAATAATTACATGTTCAAGCTTGAAATTTTCAATGTTTCAATTTTCTCTGAGAATGTTTCTTTTTCAGTGATGTAGTAATAATTCAGAATGAAAGGATGGGAAAGTTAATTTACCTCCTTTAACTCGGAAATTCTTTAGAAATATTTTTCTATTCTACCTTTCATAAAAGGTTTGCATAGAAGCTTAACATTTTTCAGTCTTCTTTGATATTGTTGCACCTTTGAAATGTTTTTTTACTTTGAAAAACGTGCTAATTTCTGCAAGAATCTCAAAATCCACCCATCTGTTTGCCACCGTCCTTATAAGCCATTCAAGCTTCATATAGACTTAAATATAGGCAACAACCTGAGAAGGAATGCAAGGACAAAGCGGAAATAATACAGGCTGCTGCAATATGTTTGTAATGCCGTTCAGATGGAGCTGCACAATGGGGAAGCTTGTGCCACTGTGGCCTTGCAGCAGGTAGGCTCTGGCTCTTTTTGCATGGAGTGTGCATGTTCTCCCTCATGCATTTGTGGATTCAATCCAGGTTTTCCAGCTTCCATCCTGTATTCTTGGTTGAAAGTATTTAGGAGACAGAGGATAGCACAATAACATTCCACATTTATTGAATAAATAACTCCCAATTTCACTTCAGTTTCTTTATATAGCACTGTTAAGATTCTTTCTATTAATCATGTATGTGCTTGTTAAATACTAATATCTATCTGTTAAGTATTAAGGTGAATGTTTTCCCCTCGTATTTAATGAAGTTAAGACAGTTTTCTGTCAGTATGCTTTTGGATTGGCCTTAACCTAAGAAGACTATTATCTCAATATGGCTGGAGCCAGTGATGTCTCCTCATTTGTATGATGTGGTGATTTTTGCAGGGTGTGAGATGTATGAAATGCTTCTTGAACTGGCATTCTGGACAACCCTTCTGACGAGGTGAGCCCGATGTTAAGCGCTACCATTGTAAACTGATCCATTTCTCTGGTCTGAGTGAGATCATTTCTGTTAAACTTGCCTTAATGTCTTATAGTCATTCAATATGTATACATTGGAAAGTGTTATCTAAAGTATTTGTTTCATGTGATCCCTGAAACAAATACTTAAGATATCAGGGACAAAAAGTTTTATGGCGTTAGCACTTAGCTTTCCTTTACAGTGCCAATTCACAACACATTTTATCCCAACAGACTTCACTGAGACAATTCAGTCATATCATACAGTCATGTTTGCAAAATGGTTTTATCAGGGAAAACCCGCTGATTGTATCTTTTTGTTAACTTGCAGGTCACACTCCGAGATGAGCATGTGTTGACTTGTCAGGATTATTGACTATATAGGAATCCCTCAAACCATGTATACATGTAGTGACAGTGAAGAGGAAAACCTCCTCTCCAGCTGAACCAGGCTCAGGGTGAGTTGCCTTTTACCCAGGCTAACTGATGTTCAACAAGAGAGGAGCAAACAAACAAGATAAAACATAGAAGCACTTATCTATAAATACTTTCAGTGTAAGAAATTAATGGTAAATTACCTCCATAGGTGGATCTGTTAGTAAGGAAAGAAACAGATAAGCAGGCAAACCCTGAGCCAGTTTTAATTTCAAAGGGATGAAAGAGAGCACAGCAGCCCTCCAGCAGCCTAAGCCTATAGCAGCATAACTATAGCAATGGCTCACGATAAAACTGAGCCATTCTAACTATAAGCAATGTCAAAAAGGGAAGTTTAAGAGGTGTCTGCCTCATGGAAACTTAGTTACAGGTATCTTAGCGGGCCACCCTGGAGGAAGTACATTTCCATCCAACATGTATCACAACAACCGATGAGATGATTGCTACAATAGGACGTTTGTAGGGATGTTGCCAGCTAAATGTATATATATACATATAGCATATCACATTACAAAGCTTTAGGCATGTGGTAAATGTCTTGATGTTTGAAATTAATGATAAAATACTGCGCATCATAATGCTTCTTATTTATACACTCTGCTGTAAAGAATATATGCTTTGATACAAAGCCCCAAAATATTTACAGGATATTTGATGACATAGGGGGGATGCTGTGTTGGATTGCTTTAAATGAAAAGACCCATTGTTTTGTTAATGTTTTAAGTATGAACAAAATATTGCTATTGGACTCAATCAGATAGATATAGAAACCCAAACCAGAAAGTTTGTCTATAAGGATCAAAACCTTTTCTGGAAGTCTGGTAAACCCTGATGAACCTCTTTGAAACTATTGTAGCTTAGCAACACTTAATGTATTAGGCTCCCTTTTGGAAACCTCATATTGTTTCCTTTTATTGATTCCCCTTCTTGTTGGCTCACTATAAAATCACTCAATGTCATTTGGAAGCCCACCAGGAACTGTTGAAAATACTCAAAACCCTGTTGGGTCATTTGGAAGCCAGCCTCAAATCATTTAAAGAGCAAATAAAGTCACTTAAAGACTAATGCAATGCATAGTCGACGAGTTAAAGAGGTTTTCCCGTGACTAACTGACCTGTCCAGAGTGGGCCCTGCCTCTCGCCCAATAACAGCTGGAAAGGCACCTCCCCAAAAACCCAATAAGTTTAACGAGTATAGATGATGGATGGTTTTCCTGGAGATGTATACAATTCCACAAAGGTGCAGTCAAATAGGATGACAGGGGGTTGGATGCAGGAGTTTCCCTTCAATCGGAGGGTTGCTGGTTCAAGCCCCAGCGCTGGCTTTCGCTCTGTCCTTGGGCAAGACACTCCACCCGCATTGTCTACTGATGGTGGTCAAAGTGCCCAGTGACGCGTACGGTAGTCTCACTTCTGTCAGTGAGCCCCACGGCAGCTATGGCTACCATGTAGCTTGCAATCATCAGTATCTGAATGGGTGAATGACTGAATGTAGTTTTGTTCAAGTCTCCTTACTTAAAAAAAAAACATTTTGAAAAGTTACTTCAGAAGTAATGTGGCCATCTGGAATCATAACATTTTCTAGAACCAAAACAGATGTTATGATGCAGCCTATATTATTACAAAGTTTACCAAAAATAGGTGACATTTAAAGAAGCTTGTAAAATTTAGAATGACCCTCAAAACCCCCTGTTTACTCCATGTCAGTGGTCTTGTTGCCTGCTGACGGTAGTCAGACGGCCCAGTGGTGCCAATTGCATGACTGTCAAAGTGTCAATGACTGAAGTGTGAAATGCTTTAAGGTCCCTGGACTTAAAAAAGGGGGCCTCTTCATTACGGTAACTTAACATTGTATTGTTAGTGCATCATCAATCTACACCCTCTATTATATTGCTCTCAGCTGTACTATAAATAAATGTTTGGACTGCACTAACTTAGGTAGTATGCCTTCAGGCTCTCTATATCATTAATGTATTTGGGGAAATATATTGAAAGGTATAGATCAATCTGGTAAAAGACAGATACATTTCAAGAAAGGCAAACATGTTGTTATGTAATAAAGTAATTGAAAAACTAAAACCAAAAAGGCAAACAGGCTAAAAGCCACTTTTACAATTAAAATTTGCATATTTGGAAATTATGCATTTTATATTTTTTCCTTACCTTCATGGAGTAATCATGAACTTGGGTCAATGTTTTTTTTTTTTTGTTGTTGTTGTTGTTATTCATCTCAAGTGGAGAGACATTAATACTTCTAAATAATTTGTTTTTTCACATGTGATATTATTATGAGACACTCAACAATATTATAGCATATGTTGTGTCTTTATAATGGTGTGTATCCAATTTAAACAGATTAAACAGGAATTCAATAAGAAATACGCATGGAAGTAGGTGATAAAGAGGAGCAGGATGGACAGAAAAAGAGTACTGTAAATTTAATTTTGAAGTATCAAGTATCTTATTTTGAACTGAAAGTCAATCACCTGTTCTGCCTAAAGTGGTAAGCAGAAAGATGGATCCATTTGAACCAGCTTGCTCCAATATAATTGCAAATATAACATAATTTAAATGAAGTCTTTGATCAAATCATAAAGGAGTGAAGTTAGGTGCACTGAATACAGCATTTAATTAGTAATAAGTTATTCAGATCAGCACAAGTCAAGACTCCTCTCTGTATAATAGTGGATTTGTTGTAATCTTCCTGGCTGCTCGTCTAACATCTCACTTCAATGAGTCGGCAGCACAGAAAACAGGATTCACATTCATGCATCAAGATAAAAACCTTAAGAAGGAATTCACAAAAGCTAACACTAGCTTTATTTCTGAACATAATCATTCTTCTTAACAGAGCTTGTTTCAACCAAAGCTTATTGTTAGCATCTATCATGGCTCTTGGATCATTAGAGCAATATTCAGGGTCAGACAGCTGGAGCTGAAGAACTCGCAGCAGTAAAGCTTCTTCAACCAGAGCTGTATTCTCAGGGATAGACTCTGTCTGATTAGATAAAAATACTTAAACACTGAATCTTCTAAGATGCTCATCTATAGGCATCCTAGATCCTCTCATCTACTGTACTTCTATGATAATGGGGATTAACAGGAATTCCATTAGGTAAAAACAAATTCTTTTTTAAATCTTTATTTCTGTAAAGATTCATAACCTTTGCATCTTGTTTTTGAATGTACTTGTTTTCTTGTACTTTAAATTAAAGGTTTTAATTGCAGGTGCAGAAGCTGCTATTTATTTTAGTCAGAAAAAAGCAGGTTTCCTCCTCTAAATTGCCAACCAAATCTTTTTTTTTTTACTCCATTCATAAGTCGTTTGCAAAAGCTCAACATTTACTTGAGTTGGTTTGAAGTATTTTACACAAATTGGA